ATTTGACAGCAAATCGGTACATCAACGAAGTCTTTGCACGTCACATGTATGCTTCCGATTATGGACCGGCTGAGGGAGTTGTTCCAGCATGACAATGCTACTTCACATACAGCACGCGTCACGGTCCGCTACCTTGCCAAATCTAACGGCAATGACTTCCCGATCACCATATCTAAACCCGATAGAACACCTATGGGATGAATTCGATCGACGTGTACGTCAACGTCAAAACACGCCTCAGACACTTCCACAACTGGCCATCGCATTAGAGGATGTGTGGGTAAGAATTCCGCAAGAGCTTATCCAGTATGTGTCGATGGTGCCGAGCAGTAATTGCTGCCAATTGTGGCTATACAAAGTACTTACTTTGACGCCATGCTGTGATCTCAAGTCACAGAAACACAACAATAAACGCTGTTGTTGTGTTGGCAAACTCTTTGCCTTTCACCTTTTCACCGTTGAAATTACATGAAATAATTGCTCTTTAGCTAACGCAATATATTCTTCAAAAATGGCTTATGTGCGTTTCTTTTTTTTGAAGAGTGTATAATCAACAAACACGCCAACCACCCGATCCAGTCGACTCTTAAGATAAACATAACTTACTGGGGAAACTTATTCTTAATCTTAAAAACCTTGCGTCACAGAATTGGCGCCTGTAAATGAATGTGTCCGGGACGTTTGTGTGGTACAATGGGTACCAGTCACTACATCAGTAATGACTGGAATAGTTACGAGGACGATGTCCCGGTAGTTTCCATGTAAGGATATAAATGTAGATACTTTTAGCAATATTCCAGCAATATTAGGGCGGGGATACTAGAAATGACCTTCACACAGCGTACCCATGTATGGAATCAAACCCGGGTGTTCGGCTTTACGAACGCACGATTTAACCACTGGGCTACCCCAACGCCTCACAGACGGACATCATAGTCCCCAGATCTCACTCACTACATATTGTTTCATGTTTCATTCTTTTTGCTTGCTTGACAGTTATTTAAAACATTTTCTACTAGTTGTTCATATTTATGGTCACCCGTGAAGATCCGGGTTAGAATTGATCTTCAGTAACCCATGCTTGTCGTAAAGGGCGACTAACGGGATTTGGGTGGTCAGGCTTGCTGACTGGGTTGACACATGTCACTGTATCCCAGTTGTGTATATTGATGCCCATGCTGTTGATCACTGGGTTGTTTGGTCCAGACTCAATGATTTAAAGACCTCCACCATATGGCTGGAATATTACTGAGTGTGTCACTCGCTCACTCAGATCCAAGTAGTCTGAACTTGTTGTTCGGGTGGTTAGGCTCGCTGGCTTGGTTGACACATGTCATCGGTTCCCAATTGCACAGATCGCTGCTCATGCTGTTGATCACTGGCTTGACTGGTCAGACTCGATTATTTACAGACCGCCGCCATATAGCTGGAATATTGCTGAGTGCGGCGTAAAACTAAACTCACTCACTCATATTCACGGTGCCGTTTCCACTTTTCTGGTGGGCAAAATTGCCAAGAATTAAGAGTTACGTCCCTTTGACGTACTGACGCTTTCTCCATAAACCTGCGTTACTACGTGAATTGTGCAAATTAAAGGATGATTAGCCAATGCCGCACAAGTTTGTATCAGTAGCCTACGTTCGTAATATAGATAATTTAGAGGTTTCTAATTAGATGTATCTCTCCTTTACAAACCCTGCAGCATTTGGTACCTCGGGGATATATGTAACCCAAAACGAGCATGCAACCAATGAAGGGTGTCTGTGAACAGTGTGCTTAATACACAGGTCATCATGCGATGGCACCGTTGTGAAGTCTCCGGATCCACCATCAGTGGACTTACACAGAGAGGGTTACAATGTATACGTTTGTGTTAACCATATTGATTTTACGAAACGTCTGTCAGTGGTGGTACGTATGGGAATTCCTTTTATTGTCCAAACGTTTCCATGGTAAGCGATAACAACAAACATAACAGTGTGTGATCAAGACGTCGTTTTGAATGTCATAGCTACGGGTAGTAACTACTCGGTGGAGACAAAAGACGACACGAAAAACGGATCCCCTTGTACAGTGAGTGAGGTTGATTATACGACGTTTCAACAACATTCCCATAAACCAACGGCGGTAGACATTTGAAAAGGGCTTCAAACATTCTACCCATAATGGGGCACGGCTTTCGGTTTAACAAGCGGACACTTGATCTACTACGCTAATCCGTGTGGAAGACTATGTACTTATTCATCAAAGTTGATTATGAAGCATGCAAATAATAAAACATGCATTGTATTGTACTGGTACACTACCCAAACTGTATATTGAAACCTACTGACACGAGTTTCATCAGACAAGAACGACGCAAGCACAGAATGGTATAATCTATCTTCACCAAAGAACTGCGACTGCCTTCTCCCATAGTAGATACATGTTACTGAAAGTACTTTGTGGGTATCAATTCCTAGCTTGGAATAGTAATAACTATTATTATTTTTATTAAAACAGACTACAAACGTTGAATTTGTTTAATCGAATCTCACACGACGGTGTTCACAATGACCGTCCGTAAGTAGTCTTGGTCTTACGACATATATCACATCTTGTTCTGGTTTACGGTTGCTTGTGAAACGAAGCCTTGAGGTATGTAAAGTTGTGATCTGCGATCTATTTCACGAAGCAGTGGTACCACTTCGACTGTCATTAGGATAGGGGTACATAAAGCAACAATTAGTTCTCAGGTGGAAGAAGGTGTACGTGCTACCCCTGCTGATATGAATGTTATCAAGTTACAAAAATATATATATATAATTCCCCTCACTCACACCAAATAATATATGGTTATACAACGTGTCTCCGTATATCTGGTATAATATATATACTAGCAATAAAAAGTATACTTACTTACGTAATCTATTTAAATTTACATATATATTCCAATTGTAATTAATCATGAGAAGCTGAAGTGATTCCTGTGCATTAGATCGTATGCACGAAGATCATAGAGCTTACGTTTGTTTTTGAACAGGGCCTAAGCGATACCTCATAGGTTATGTCAATACGCATTGTAAACATGTGAATATCGTAGTATTCCCAGTATATGTGTATACTACACTGGGCTTACTGGCTTTGGTACAGTGGCTATAGTGACCTCACCCCACAGAACACCGAACTTTATATATTACAAATATGTCAGCAACTGCAGTATACAAGCTTGTTTAATCATACTTACGGTGTACGTCTGAAATATTTGGGTTGATACAAAAAACAAAAAAAAAACAACAGACAACAAAAAAACAAACAGGTATCCCACATCCATCCGTCCATCCATCATTACATACATACACACACACATACATACATACATACATACATACATACATACATACATACATACATACATACATACATACATACATACATACATACATACTGTGTGAATACTATTTGAACTTAATCGATAAGTTTTCCTCTATGTATTTTATCACGTTGATATCCATTCGTGTGGTAGTTGTGTTTTGTCTCATACACCACATCATATGAAAACTATGACACCATCTGAATACATAGCCTTGATCGAGATGTATACGTATACAGAATAGTTAATACAAATGTACGAATAGTCTCCCACAGCCCCCTTGTTACTGGACTTACTTCCTTCTGTATAGCAATTGTCAAGTTTTGTCAGATATTTCTCTCATTTATACATAAAATGGATATATTTTATAATCAGAGAACTCCATAAAATGTTAAATAACAGATATACATGTGAAACCAACAATATAAACCAAAAGTTTCTTCAGAGTTCAGCCCAGTTTAGAAAATAGGAGTTTTTTTCTCAGCAAATAAATAGTAGAAATATAGCTAGTTTGTGTTAATTTGAGTGAAACCCAGTGAGTTTCTCCTTGTATTACCAATACATTCATTCTACAAGGCGGGACAAATAATACTAGTATTCCACAGCGCATTTGGAGTAATCATCAGTATCAGACCACGAAGCTAATGAATTGTGGGGATATCCTCTTACATAACCACGCCGCACCAAAAGTAACAATGAAGCTCCCATAAACAGCAGAAGCTTAAAACGGCAGAGCTTTAAGTCCACGATAACAGCTGGAATAGAAATAACATCTTTGATATGTAAACCACCGTTAATTCGGAATTCTTACATTGTGTAAACTGCAAAGCAAGCCCGGCCATTCTCCTCAAGATATCTAAATATAGATCCCATCACATTTTTTTGATATTTTGAAAGTTGAAATTACAAATAGATTTGATATTCGTGATAGATGGACGATATAGTCAGATAACAACCAGGTGAATGCAAAAAATATTGTTACTATATTTGAAGTTGACCTCCGAGACCCGTGCGTGGTTGATCTCTCACTCTCAGGATGCACAACATAGGTCCGGGTTAACTACTGTCACGCACACTGGAACTATATTCTTGCGCATGTAGACAGGTGTCCTTTTCCCTGACGTCACATAGTTGCTAAGTTACTGAGTTTTTCCACCCTTCTTCGCCGGCGTATGAGTACTATGATCCCGGGGTAACTACTTTTAGATCACTGATCATTTGTTTGACCAGTGCTGCCATGGTCGATGAAATTTGATTGTTTGAGTGACCACTAAAGGCAAAATAAGACCAAATTGGGGCCCAGGAAGGTTCTAACAAGAACAAAGAAACCCAAAACGACGCTTTCGTTCGAAAATAAATACGTTGTTCTGAATAAACGCCATATACATTTATATGATTAATTTACCATTTTTGAACATGGAATATAAGTATTTTTACATATTTGGCCTAAAAAATCACAGTAAAGGTGAAAATGGCAAAAATGTGTTTTTCTCGAATATGTGACCATTTCTGTCCACTACATGTTTCTAGTCTTATAGTGGGTGTCAAGTGGTGAAGTTTGACACCCTGCATGCCTAGGTTCTGTGATGGACGTACCTCAAGTGTATTTTAGAGTGAAAACCGAGTGTTGCCGAAGGACGAATGACGTCACGTGTGAAAAGAGGAGGAAGACAGTAGGCAGTCCGAGAAATGGCGACTCCATGATCTGTCGCTTCAGGGGGGTAATGAAGTGGACCTTCGTGATATTATACCCCATGTATTCGCATGATTGTGCTTTATAGGACGAAAAAGGATACTATCTTTAAATTACCACCATACACATGAAAAATGGCGGCAAATATGTACAGAGTTGGAGGTACGTATAATTTCGGAATATGGAAAGAGCATGGACGGACCCACTCGTCCCGCGGCATGATACCTCGACACCTTTGTCGTGACACAACATAGTAATCATGCATAATGTACCTCCCGATCGATACCATGGATATTCTGACAACAAGTTTGATTTCATAAATGTACATTTTGAGCTTTTAGGTTGTTTCGGAGTTTTTAATTCACGTGAGTACAGTGCATGCGTATGCATGCGAGGTGTGATTCGGTTCAACTTCACTGAGAATCTCCGTTCAACACTTTTTATCTTAAATTCCGTTAATCAAATGCAATTTCTATATAGAAAATGTGGATAAAATTAATCTGTCCCGATTTTTGATGTCTGATTTGCTTTGTGTTGGTCACATTTGAACCTCAATTACCCCAAGGGACTATTTTTCGTCAGTGGCTTGTACATACAAACCGGTATATTGACGAGCACACACAAAGACCTTTTTTGTTTCCTTTGCAGATTATGTATATTTTGAAACATCGTCCACATCCCCGTTCCAAATAAGACGAATCGAGGAACTCAACAAGGTAAGAGAATTGTACTTTTGTGCCAATTCAAGCGATCGTGTGTTGAAAATGTTGTAAATCTGTTAAATTCCGGTGATTGCGGCGGGTGATTTGGGTTATTGTTATTCAATGCTTATCCAATGGCTGACTTTGACTAAGAGTGTCTGTCAACATCTTCCTTGCAGACTCCAAATGGAAATGTGGAAGCCAAAGTTATGTGTTTTTATCGAAGGAGGGATATATCCAGTTCACTCATCGTGTTGGCGGACAAGCATCAAAGTAAGTGGAATGGGGTTTGTTTATTGATAGGCCGGTGATACGATTAGCCCGATACACAGCCGGATGGGGCACGCGATGCATGTCGGCTCAAGTAGTGCGCTCGCGACCTACTTTGAACTCAGTAATGCTTGGACTTGAGTAAAACCATTGTTTGACCACGTAGACATCTCATATCATTTTAAAAACACAGGTCCACGTGGGTCCGATCCAAGTGTTGAAAATAGTCCGGCTTTGCGAGCAGATATTTGATTGGAGGACCTAGGCTTCATTCATACGTTTAGTGTTGTCCCAACTTTTGCTATGTTTTACTGTGAATTATGCCTTATTAAATCATGATTTTCACTCATTTCACAGCAAATGAATACTACTGATGCATGAGTATTAAATTACGATATGTTCAAGGGAAATAGACACAGTTTTTATGTTACATTTACAAGTCATCTATAAGGTAGCTACACAGATGATGTTTTTCAACAAAAAGTCATGTCTCATCAAGTTTTAATAAAAAAAATTGATATAATTTTGCTAAAATCAACATTTCACAGTAAAGTTGTACATCATTATTTTCTTGAATCAATAGAATAATCATTGATCTGGCAATGGGGCAACTGAACATGTTCAAAAATATTTTATCACTTACATGATTTTCAAGATGCAATGAATCGGATCAAAATTCGAAACAAACAAGGAATACAGTGAAGGTTTGTTGATTTGGACACGGTTAATCTAAAAATGTTGCACTCAAGAAAATTACTGTTGGAATCGCCCGTATCCCATAAATCCATCAATAAAACCAGCGGTGAACATGTATATTCTCTGGTGGATCACATAGTCATTGATATAACATTGCTGCATGTGAGTCATGGGTTTATCCAGAAAGGTGTTATTCTTAATGTAATATTTTCAGGATCACTGTACTTTGTTGTACTCATCAAAATGGATTTAATCAAGAGCACATAGATCTGATAAATGTAATAACATTGTGTAGCCTCTTAATATTTTTGTTTGATAAATACTCAGCTTGCAAACAAAAACATCATTTATGTAATGGTTCTTATGGTTGTATATTGGAAATCTTTCCCGAATTTGTATTTGCCCGGACACAGTGTAACAACTGTTTCCCCTCAACCTAAGGTGTTGGTATGAGGCGACTGAGTAGATCCAGTGTTCAGACATGATGACTTTCTTGGTTGAACATGTGTCTTGGTGCCCTGACCTTGTAGATCATTTCTCACAATAATCAACAGATCAGTGTTTCAGAACGACTCAGTCTCTAGGTCACTGAATGTCACCCAGAATGTCCTTTTGATATCGTTAAATGTTGAACATATAGAAGAATCACTCCTGGATTGTTTGGTCCAAACCAGATTATTAAAAGGCTGTAACATTTGGAATATGTCGTTAAAACAACAATACAACATGATTTGTTTATAACATGCAGATTGAAAGTATATGTTGAAGTCTCTAAATAGTAGAGGATCATTTTGGGTTGGGATTCAAGGGTATAAGTTTTACTGATTAACTTATATTTGTCATAAAAGGAGACAGGGTTGATTGTATTTCATAGAATCCCAGCAATATAGAATGCCCTGTTGGAGTAGATGTTGCGTCAGACTTGATTACTTACAAGCAACTTTGGTATAACTGGAATATGTCTGTTTAAGGCATTGAACAACAAATAATGATGGTGCTTATTGTTTGAGTATAATTGAATATTTGAAGATTGTATGTTGTTTAGTAGTCGGGGTACCATAGTGGGGTGAGGTGAAATTGGATTTAACGTCGTGCTTGAGAATATTTCGCTCATATGACGACGGTACCATAGTGAGGTCTTTTGCTATGATAAGCTTGACAGCTGACTCTGAACCAGACAAACCAGTCTGCTCAGATATGTCTGGTTTTATAGCAACACTACAATTCTTTTCATGCATTTAACATCAAAGTAAGCAATATGCAAATTGTAATAGAGCAAAATACTCCAGTGAGAGACATTATGAGGTTCAGTCAACGCATTTGGGATATGGTACATATATCAAGCAGCTCTGATTCCTTCAGTCACCACTTACAACAGGCAGGGGTTGGTGAAGATCAATTCTAACCCAGATCTTCAGAGGTATCAAATCTAAACAATGCTGACAAATTTCACATGCTGCAGTGTAATATAATGCCAGACTTGGAAGTATGTTGAACTTTTCCCTTCAGGATGTCTGCACACCCTATCCTCAAAATTTGTGTTGAAGGGAAGGACAACTGTTCGGGGTAGAAGTGTTAAGGGTTTGTAGACTGATTCCCAGCAATCTTAACTAATAAGAATGGACTCAAAGAATTGTGTGGTTGGCTTGTCACGGTTCATGGTGTCATTGTTCCACGAAATTTTGGGCATGATCCCCAATAACTAGCTTTGTGTGGTCTATGTTATGGTCTCTCTACCATAATCATACATGATACTATCCTAAAAAACATGCTCAATAATATTTTGCTCACAAATCTGTGGCAAATCAATAAAGTTGACAGTTCCATTTCACCTTTGTTTAATATGGCCCAATTTTTGTTATAAACTGCCAACAACTTCTTCTGACACACTCCTCAGTTCAAGAAGTTGCGATTTAGATGTTACGGAGCACTAAAATGATTTGTGACAAGTTCAGTTGGAGACACTTGAGTCTCTGTCATGTCAGTGAGATTCAGCTGTATGGATGTAACAAGGCCCTTAGCTGCTCCTATGTTGTGTCAATGTAAATAGTGGCAAACTATACTGGACAAAATAAGTTAGGGATATTGGTATTTTTATGATTGATATTTTATAAGTGTGTCAATGAATAGATAGATTATTATTCATAATTTCATATATCCCTAACTATTTTTGTCCTGTATATTAACATTATGTTGCTACATGGTTTGTCAGCAGTGTTATTCTTAGTGAGTTTAGTTACACACTGCACTCAGCAATATTCCAGCTATATGGCTAGGGTCATAAAATCCAGTGATCAACAGCATGAGCATCAGTCTACGCAATTGCAGTAATGGGAATAATCTGCTGATCTGCGGATTTTCGCTGATTTTATTTCAAATTGATCAATTCAAACCCACATTCGATGACACAGTGTTAAGTTTTCAGCTGAAAATAGATTTTCCGGTTGCCGTCCCAGCAAATGGGATACGATGACATGTGTCAAACAAGTCACGAGTCTGACCACCCGATCCCATTAGTTGCCTCTTACGACAAGCATGGGTTGCATCAATTCTAACCCGGATCTTCACAGGCTTTAAGGAAGTAGGACATAGGAAGTAGCTTGTAAAGCCGAGGCTATGTTTAGTTGCTTATATAATAATGTATTGGAGGTGTTACTGTTTGAATGGAACACATACGGCCAGTCGTCTAAGGCACCACAGTTTGCTGTGCTGACTTCCATCCCTGAGCTGTACCAGAAACCTGTGATCATGGATTTTCCACGTTTGTCAGCATCATACCTATGTTTGTGGATTTCACTAAAGTACTAAATGTCTAACATGGCATCACGTTTTGTCTTTCCACTTACAGCTGATACATCCTGGTTTAACAGAAATACTGTTCAGAGCGACATTCTTACTATTACTGATCACAAGTTCCATGAAGGAACACTGGGCTTTTTCTAAAAAGTGATGACACAGCTACAATGAGTGTAAATCTGTCAGTATCAGTCATGCCATCCTCGATAATCTCCAGGGTATACGTTATGATCACTCTCCACTATACCCTGGATGCATTCATGGCTTGGCTCGATGATTTTATTACCTCCCTTGGCTGGCTTTTTATCCAATCAGGTGTCTACGCTGGGAAATTGAGCGAACGAATCACAACACACTTTCGCTTCATGAATTATCTAACCGTTTAAACTTGGCAACACAATTGATGCAGAGGTACTCTGAAAGATGTAGAATTTTATATATTTATATAAGATTGAGATCTGTCAATTTGTCTGTAATATTTCCCCCCAAATGTGAGTGGTACTGCGAACAAACCTTCACGACTGTTCACGCTATCTTTGTTGACACTGGCAAGCTCGGATGTAACAGCGGCTTAGCTGATTGGCTACAATGCGTAGCCAGCAAAGGGAGGTAATATAATTATGGGGCCAAACCGTGGATGCGTCCAGGGTATAGTGGAGAGTGATCGTAACGTATACCCTGGAGATTATCGAGGATGCAGTCATGCAATCGTCATAGCACTGAAATTGATTTGAAGAATGGGACCCAAGGAAATAACATTTCTCTAAACAGCTCCTATGCTTGACTCGTAATTGCATATGGGACGGTGGGATAGCCTAGTGATTATGCGTTTGCTTGACACACCGAGAACCTAGGTTTGATTCCCCACATGGGTACAATGTGTGAAACCCGTTTCTGGTGTCCGCCTGTCGTGATATTGTTGGAATATTGCTAAAAGCAGTGTAAAACTAAACTCACTTGCGTAATTGCATAACTTGAATATTGTACTGTTCCTCCCCTACACCATGTAAAGTCATGAACTCATGTCCAGCTGTCACAGTATCTAATGTTGCACAATACATTGCTGTACAAATCAATGAAGCAGCAATATTTTTCTGGCTAACAAAGCAGCTTATGTTTCATGTTTCTACCTCAAGTTGTCATCTCAATCTATTACTCTCTGGCAGTGTAGTTAGGGACACTGCTCATATCACCTCTCCAGTGTAGCAGGGACACTGATATCACCTCTCCTGTGTAGTAGGAACACTGATGCTTATATCGCCTCTCCTGTGGAGCAGAGACACTGATGCTTATATCACCTCTCCTGTGTAGCAGGAACATTGATGCTGATATCACCTCTCCTGTGTAGCAGGAACATTGATGCTGATATCACCTCTCCTGTTTAGCAGGAACATTGATGCTGATATCACCTCTCCTGTTTAGCAGGAACATTGATGCTGATATCACCTCTCCTGTGTAGTAGGGACACTGATGCTGCTATCACCTCTCCTGTGTAGTAGGAACACTGATGCTGATATCACCTCTCCTGTGTAGTAGGAACACTGATGCTTATATCACCTCTCCAGTGTAGTAGGAACACTGACACTGATATCACCTCTCCTGTGTAGTAGGGACACTGATGCTGACATCACCTTTCCTGTGTAGTAGGAACACTGATGCTGACATCACCTCTCCAGTGTAGTAGGAACACTGATGCTGATATCACCTCTCCTGTGTAGTAGGAACACTGATACTGATATCACCTCTCCTGTGTAGTAGGAACATTGATGCTGATATCACCTCTCCTGTGTAGTAGGAACACTGATGCTGATATCACCTGTGTAGTAGGAACACAGATGCTGATATCACCTCTCCAGTGTAGTAGGAACACTGATGCTGATATCACCTCTCCTGTGTAGTAGGGACATTGATGCTGATATCACCTCTCTTGTGTAGAAGGGACATTTATTTTGATATCACCTCTCCTGTGTAGTGGGAACACTGATGCTGACATCACCTCTCCTGTGTAGTAGGAACACTGATGCTGACATCACCTCTCCTGTGTAGTAGGGACATTGATGCTGATATCACCTCTCCTATGTAGTAGGGACATTGATGCTGATATCACCTCTCCTGTGTAGTAGGGACATTGATGCTGATATCACCTCTCCTGTGTAGTAGGGACACTGATGCTGACATCACCTCTCCTGTGTAGTAGGAACACTGATGCTGACATCACCTCTCCAGTGTAGTAGGGACACTGATGCTGATATCACCTCTCCTGTGTAGTAGGGACACTGATGCTGATATCACCTCTCCAGTGTAGTAGGAACACTGATGATGATATCACCTCTCCAGTGTAGTAGGAACACTGATGCTGATATCACCTCTCCTGTGTAGTAGGGACATTGATGCTAGTAGGGACACTGATGCTTATATCACCTCTCCTGTGTAGTAGGAACACTGATGCTGATATCACCTCTCCTGTGTAGTAGGAACACTGATGCTGATATCACCTCTCCTGTGTAGTAGGAACACTGATGCTGATATCACCTCTCCTGTGTAGTAGGAAACACTGATGCTGATATCACCTCTCCTGTGTAGTAGGAACACTGATGCTGATATCACCTCTCCTGTTTAGCAGGAACATTGATGCTGATATCACCTCTCCTGTGTAGTAGGAACACTGATGCTGATATCACCTCTCCTGTGTAGTAGGACCACTGATGCTGATATCACCTCTCCTGTGTAGTAGGAACACTGATGCTGATATCACCTCTCCTGTGTAGTAGGAACACTGATGCTGATATCACCTCTCCTGTGTAGTAGGGATATTGATGCTAGTAGGGACACTGATGCTGATATCACCTCTCCTGTGTAGTAGGAACACAGATGCTGATATCACCTCTCCTGTGTAGTAGGAACACTGTAGAAGGAACACTGATGCTGATATCACCTCTCCTGTGTAGTAGGAACACTGATACTGATATCACCTCTCCTGTGTAGTAGGAAACACTGATGCTGATATCACCTCTCCTGTGTGTGTGATGCTGATATCACCCTCTCCTGTGTAGTAGGAACACTGATGCTGATATCACCTCTCCAGTGTAGTAGGAACACTGATGCTGATATCACCTCTCCAGTGTAGTAGGAACATTGATGCTGATATCACCTCTCCAGTGTAGTAGGAACACTGTAGAAGGAACATTGATGCTGATATCACCTCTCCTGTGTAGTAGGAACACTGATACTGAATCACCTCTCCTGTGTAGTAGGAACACTGATGCTGATATCACCTCTCCAGTGTAGTAGGAACATTGATGCTGATATCACCTCTCCAGTGTAGTAGGAACACTGTAGAAGGAACATTGATGCTGATAACACCTCTCCAGTGTAGTAGGGACACTGATACCATCCAACTTGTGTAGTTGTGTCAATATCATCTCTGATGTAGTAGACATTGAACCTCATCGGAAGACATGCATTTTTCATCAAAAGTAATTGAACAGAAAGTATTCCTGACAAGCAGCTGCTCAGCAAGCCACAGCTCAGCAAGCCACAGATTATTCTATCAAGTACAAGGGTTGTAAGCTGTTTAGTACATAGGTCACCATGGAAAGTAATATCGGTCTACATGAAATATATATCAAGTTGTTATGCATTCTGTAGTCTGCCAGACTGGTGTAGTTACAATTTTTATGTCATGTATTATTTCATGACCTTGTGGTTGCTGTGTGCTTTTATTGTTTTCTGAAGAACCATCGGTACATCCATAGATTTGGTATGCTTCAGATTCGTGGTTTTATGATGTTGGAAATTAAACATTGTGAAGGTTCAACATTTTGGGGGTTCGATGTCATAGCTCATGCTCTTGACCACTATGTTTGTATGTGGAGATTTGTTTATTTGCTATGTTAACAACCTTGTTATTTGACTGACTATAAATACACAACACTATATCATGCATACTGAACTTTGCTCAAGGTCATATATTCACAGACATCTTTAGAAGTGTGTTAACGGATGTTGCCATATTTAATTGACCATCTGAGATCTAGAAGCACCATGTAATCTTCAATGTAATTGCCTTTGTCTGATATGGGATGACTGGATTAGTTTAGTTGGGTATCTGTGAAGTAAATACTTTGATGTCACTGCTGCATGGTGATCCTGAGGCAAAATAGGTCTCCACCACACTGACAACAGTGACTTTATGGTTACATATATGAAGTATTAACTGGCTTATTGTTTGTGGGGCGGTGGGGTAGCCTAGTGGCAAAGCATTTGCTCGTCACGCCAAGGGCCCAGGTTTGATTCCTCACGTGGGTACAATGTGTGAAGCCCATTTCTGGTGTCCCCCGCCATGATATTGCTGGAATATTGATAAAAGCTGCGTAAAAAAATACTCAGTATTGTTTGTGGTCGAATTCTGAAAGAGTGAGTAGATGATGATGGTGTCACTGATTTGTTTGGATAAGACTCTTTTTGAAAGTCTCTGACGTAGATGGATGATTTTTAAATGAAATACTCACTCATGCATTTGATTTTTCTGAGGTGCGTTAGATGGTCTCCGTGGCCTTCTGGATAGAGCATTTGCCTGGTGAACAGGTCACCGGTTTGATCCCTGGCTTTCTGATGCATAAATATGATAAAATATGGTACTTCCTGTTATCCTGAGAGAGATAGGCTCATTGTTAAATTTCATCCTTATCTTTTCAAATTATGTTTATGGAGATTGACTCACATGAGTCCCTTTTTTGTAGCTATAAGTTTGTTTGTCCTACCTACTAGCACTGTTATGATTCAACATGCATGTTCGGTGAATCAAACTGTATCTCTTCATGAATTCAATTCGTTAGTCATGATCAGTGGAAAGGAATAATCTTTAAATTATTTTAAAGAGGCTGTTTTTATTTAAATATGAGTCTTAATTATCAAAACAAGATTTGCAAAATGGAAGACATCCAAGCCCTGCAGGATAATAGCCAACACTCAGATATATTTTATTTGACAGTTATGTGATCACTGGCCACTGTCATGATAAATTATCACTGTCAACCTGACCAGAATAATTAGTTTATCATATGGTTATTGTTTCACTGAATATATTGAATATTACCTCAACAGGTGCCTTGTTATTGTATTCATTACCCAATACTAGTGATACGTATCGTATTCACCCCAGTGGATTCCCCTACTACCTACATGACTGAAGTGGTATTAACATTGCATTAACTTCAGTCTTTCTTGCAGCTGATGCCCTTGATTCGAAAAAGGTGTACAACCAAGACAGAGATGAAGGTATGTTTGCTTTGTATGGTTGATTGTCATGGTTCCCATTTCATGTACAATTTGGATTTCAGTGAGTTTGCTATAACCACTGCTTTTGATTAAGGGATTGCCTGCCACTGAGGCTGGCGCAGAGTACCTTCCTGTCTGTTACAGTTACTGTCAATACTTGGTGTAAATGTCTGGTTGGAACTGGTACTTGACCTTGCAAGTGTTGCTGTCATGGGCAACAGTTTGTACTGTTCAAAGTTGCTTGCTCTATGGATTTCCTGTTCAGCAGCCTTCTGATTATGTTCAAAAAGCCAGAATCTGCTTTTGCCACAGCTTTTTTGAGCTCTCTTCCCACATGTTGCAGCCATGCTGTGATCCGAGGAGTGTTGAACCGAAGTCACTTACCAACAAATAGGTACATCTCCACTGAAAATATGATATTGATAACTGACTGACTTTATCAGTTTGTCTGAAGCCCCTGTCTATAATGTCTTACAGTCTAGTAAGGTCAGCTTGTATGAATCTCAAAATGAAGAATAACATCCGGGAATTATTGTCAGAGTATAACAATATGCCAGTAGACTGAGTATTTATTCATTTATTTATTTATTTATTTATTTATTTATTTATTTATTTATTTATTTATTTATTTATTTATTTATTTATTTATTTATTTATTTATTTATTTATTTATTTTTACAATATAAGTACACTTCCAGAATCTTGTAGAAAATGTTATTTTTCATTGGCCGTATATGCAGTCTACATTCACATCAGTGGGATTCTTCATTCTGTTGAACATGTTGAGCTGTAAACATGATTTTTAAAGTATTTGCATAATTGGGTTATTTTGAAATTTTTCAAATTCTTAGTCTACAATAGTCTATTTTTCAAGTTTGACATTAATCTCTTGAGACGACCTAAGAGGGTCCTAATCAGAATTGTCTTGTTACTCAATTAGTTTCAGATGGTTTCAGTTTTCATAATTGACCTTTGTTTTCAAATTTTGTTTATAGTGTGTTATCTTTAACCTTAAACATTGCGTTAATGAAAGGTGGGTTTTGTATTATGTTCCTTGTCTTGCATACTGACAACAGGATGAGTCTTTATTTATTAATCATGAAGATGACTTTAACTTGAAACTCATGCTGAGCGACAACTGACTCACCAACAACAATAGTCGTTCTCCATACTCCATTGCAGGTCGCTATGACAGATCCTCATTGTTGAATGGTGTATGGTATTCTTTGGTGCTGTTATTGTTAGCAAAGTCTTAGTTTTGAAGACTATGTGGTGCCAGAATATGCCTCATGCTGTCAATGGTTTGCATGGCCAGGATATGACAACTGTTCTCAGGCAGTAATGGTGGAAAGGAATATTTCTTGAGTGCTTTTTGCAAATGGTGTCCCAACAACATTAACGTCGATACCCTTTCCTCCTTACCACTGTCTGGATGATTTGAGTAAGGCCTTTTGTCAGTTGTGTTTTTTTGGTTTTTTAAAATCTTTTATTAATAGCCCTTGAATAGTGGATTATCTGTCATGCATCTAAAATGCAAAATGATGTCAGTACAAATGCAGACTGTCTAAGTTTGAATTCTGCTGTGGTAATATCTGCCGGTATCTTTGTTCCATGTTATCCCCCCTATTGGGTGTCTGTACCTCATGCGTTTTTGTGTGAGTTGACCAATATGGGGATCAGATGGTGAGGCTCTTTGAATTGGCTGATTGCATGACATCATACCCTAATGGTATGCTGATGCTTTCAGTCACTTGTTTGTCTGATCCAGAAAGCTTTTTAACAGCTGGAATTATACTGACTGTCACAGGACAATAATTAGAAGTAGCAATTTAAAAAATATTTCTTTGATGTTAAATTGTTAATGGGATGAATGTTGTAAAAAGCGGAATAGGTTGCCATCTGGACAAATATCTAGCGCTAATGCTTACAGTATGTGTCACATCGCCTATTTCTGCAGCAGCCACATGCCATTTCTTTGAAGGTCATGTGCCAGCCTTTAAGTTACTTATAATTTTATTGATTTTCTATCACCATGGCAACATCATGGTATGAACCTGCTGCCAGATAGTGCTATTAATATTTATTGGATGAAAACAATGAACACACCTCTTGGCCTGGTCATAGCCCTATGGTTATCAAACAGATGTTTGGACTGCCTTAGTGTCACATGTCACTCTTGAATATTGTTCTTATTTTAGACCAGGTGAAAAGCTTCAGGGTAAGAATAGGATAACATTATGTGTGTATGACCACATTGTCGGAGGGTATCTCGATGGAGGGTTCGAATCCCAGATTTGCTGTTAATATGTCTCTTAAGTTTATGTGGACCATACCCTTGCTCGTCGTTTTTTGGGTATATTTGAATTAATTCAAGCTGTTGTCCTCACACATAATGCTGACATGTGAAGATTTAAGTGAAGATCCTGTGATAAACAAAACTCACTTCATGTTAAACAATACAGTGACTGCTAGTCTGTCTTTGACAACCACAAACTAGACCTGGCCAAGTTACATAGGTATTGATTCTGCAGCAACGCCACCAGTTTACTGCTTTTTGGAACTTAATTTCCTGAACAGAACTGAAGATAATATTGATTTTAGTTGAACACATGCATTATGTGTGACTGGCCTGTGACCATTGTAGATCAGATTTAACAGTTAGTTTTGATGCTGGAAAGGTTGGCCTTCTATGTGGTGCCAAGGTGTATCTGACAGTAGTGACGTGACTATGATATGTGAGTCGATTGATTGGTGAATGTAGTGCAGTGTAAGGAAGTAGCAACAGGGGGAGGGAGATTACATCATTGCTATTATTAGGCAGCATTTTTCTTCTTCATTTTCTCCTTTGTACTTTGTAGGATGGAGGATGGTTCTTTGCATTTGTGACAGATAACTGAATGACAGGGGCTAGTGTATTTGACAAAGTATTTTAGTGCTGGGATTTGTTTTCATAAACATTATTTTTAAGCCTATTTGGTTTCCTTTTATAATGTTTCAATGTTTTTTTGTTTTGTGAGTTTGTAACATTTTGCCATTTTAACAGTCATCTGAGAAATATTATTTGATTTAATAGGTATTTCCAAATGGAAATAGAAAGCATCACCTTGAAAATCAGTTGTATCTAAGCTTAGGTATCATGAAACCTAATGCATTGACAAGCTGTTGTAGTTGTACTTTATATCATGCTACAGCCTAGGACAGTACTCAACTTTCCTAGTTAATGTCGATATGGTTTGACTTTTCCCCCTATTTCAACACAAGATAATGCAGCAAAATTATAAGTATTGTCAAAGAGTAACAGGAAGATAAATATTTTAACATGACAAAGCATCTATACAAACTATGTTGATCCAACCCATTGCCGTTCTAGGAAAAACTGAATAGATAAAAGGATGATTTTGACACCATTGAGAATCACGGATAAAATTTCACATTCATAGTTCAATTGAAACGTAAATTGAGTAGTTGCCTAATTCTAGGAGGGAAGAAATTGAAGAGGAATTAGGATACTCAGCATCTCAGATATCTTCCTTTTATACTTTTATTTCATGTTCCATATGCTTAAAATAGCATTGACATTATGGTAATTCACCATTGATAGTAGTCAATTACGATGAACGCTAGCCTCCCTGCAGTTGATTTCTCAATGTGTCTGTACACTGATGTGGAGACTTGCGATGGGGACTGATGTCTGCAATGGCTGCTGTCTGTCTTCTGACCTACTAAAGCATCAGCTGTCTGCCTGGGACGTTAGTGAGGGAGAGCGTGTCTGACCTTCCTGCTGTTGCTGATGCATGTGGGTCACACTAGGCTGGTACTACCACAGCTTGGGTGGGTCTAGGGGGGGGGGGACACTCAGCAGTGCTGGAGCTGCTTGACCTGTGCTGCTGGCTCTAGCGGAATCCATCCTCACTGGCTCTTTTTCCAAAAGAAAAAGTAGTCCTATTACCTCTCTCTGATTTTAGATTCGGACAGTGTCAGTAAAAATTGAATTTGAGCACCTGAGTAAATATCTACAATTAAAAGATGAATTTTAAGTTTTGGATGGAACTGATCAACTCCATCAGCTCTGTCAGTGGAACATGGGAGAAATCAGTGGTGTGTGTATTGAAATCAATTGAGCAGAACGAGAGACAACACAAAGGCCTGGTGCTATAGTGCTGTGGTAAGGCTGGGTTGGCGGCAGTCCGGCAAGCAGGGACAGCTGGTCCCACACAAAGACGACAGGCTACAAGAGGGAATGACAACCCTGGGGTACCTGCCCAGATGTTGCACTCCCTGCTGGGGTGTGATTGAGAGTCATGCATGGCCTGATTCATGGAGGCCCTCATGAGGTGCTGCTTCCTTTAGCTGAAGTGTGAGATTCATGTTTGGCCTGATTGTGGAGGCCCTCTTTAGGGACAGTCTCATTGGCTGGTAAAGCCATCCTTGGCCTGACTGATGAGGCCCTCTGGAGGTGTTTCTTCTGTGGCTTCAGTGTGTGAATCATATATGGCCTGATTGATGAGGCCCTCTCAGGGTGATAGTTCTTTGGCCAGAGAATGAGCTTCAGTTGTTAGGCCCTCTTGAGGTATAATGTTGTTGGTACCTATTGCCTATTACAGCATGGTTGTTGGGGCTCTGTTTAGGTGCTTTCTGCTGGGCTTTTTGTGAGAGCCATTCATGGCCAGATTGCTGAGGCCCTGTTCGCAGGCTCCTCCAAGGCAAGGATTATTGCTGGCATCTTTAGGTGCTAACTCAATGGCCAGGGTGTGACAGCCCTGACATGGCCTGATAGCAGGCACTTGTCTTCCATGCCAGGCCATTTGATGTATGATTGCTGGTATTCTGATGAGCTTGTCATTTCATCGCAGTCATTTTGCCATGAATGTGTTGGCTGCCACTGAGTCATTTTTCTTTGTGCTGATTGTTACAAAATGGGTTGTGAAAGTCATGGCATGTCAGATGTTCGATGTCATCTGTACAGTGTAGTTACTATTACTACTATTTCAGGTTAAACC